GCCTGACACCATTGCGAGTCTGCGAGGCTCCTCTCTGCCCGGGCCAAGATGTGTCCGCTCAGCCCTTAGACAGATGCCGGTGCACTCCAGGCGCACAGCACGGCCTGACTCACCCACCGCCCCACTGGCCCAATGAGTGGGCAACCAGGAAAAACTCTCTGGGAACTTGCATTTCAAAGTGTCGCTCCCGTAAGCATTCCCACCAGGTACCTCCGGCGAGGGGCAAGGCAAAGACAGCCGTCCCAACGTGCTTCCAGTCCGACAACTGGCGAGGCCCTTTGGGAAGACGACGCAACAGGCCACGCCCACCAGGCCCCTTAGACTCCACGGCAGAATTTACGGGGTTCAGCCCCAACACAGGATGGCAGGCTCCACGGGAGTGGAGCGAGGGGCCCTCAGAGAGCTACTCTTTGGGGCTCCTTAGAAGGCTGTAGCAACTTGTTCTCTCTCAGTTAAAAAAACCAGAATCTAGCCGGGCTCGGTGGCTCAGCCTGTAATCCTGCGCCTTTGAGAGACTGAGGTGAGTGGATTGCCTGGGCCCGCGAGTTCAAGACCCGCCTGGGCAGGCGAGACCTCATCTCTACAATAAATCAAAAGAAATCATCTGGGCGTGGTAGCGCGCGCCTGTAGTTCCAGCTACTTGGAAGGCGGAGGCAGAAGGATCGCCGGAGCCCAGCAGGTCGAGGCTGCGGTGGCCGGGAGCGGCCGCTGCACTCTAGTCTGGGCAGTGGAGTGAGACTCCAACTCAAAAAACCCCCAAAAAACCAGAAACTGCTCAACGAGACTAACGTCAGTGAGACTAACGACCATCCGGGACGGAAAATCCACGCACAGCAACGTTTCCTGAGGACGGAGGGGGCAGCTTGCTTTCAGGCCTGCCACGGCCTTCCCAGCTGGCCGCCATGGCGTCACGCAGCACTAGGGAGTGACAGGGCAGGGAGAAGCCGCAGGGTCAGCTCAGGGTTCCCACCTTGCAGGGCCAGCGGGGATGGCAGGGGCTGCCCCAGGCCTGAGTGGAAGCTCCGTGGAGGCAGGGGCACAGGGTATCTGGGGGAGGCTGCTAGAGGTCGCACCATGGAGCAGGGCCACATGGCGGGGGAGGGTCTGCAGACACCACGGGAGAGGCCTCCTGCCGCCTGGGCTGGACTTGAGTCTCCTGTCCCCTGCCCGCTCCCAGGGTGATCTGTGTGGAACACACCCTGGCGCAGAGAAGTTTGGTCATGCTGCCTGGCTCCTGCCCCCAGGGCCCCGGCAGCAGCAACGAGGACCAAAGGCCTTTAGGGTCACAGATGACAGGCCCACGGGGCAGTCAGTGGCTCCCATGGGAACAAAGACCCAGAAATGTACAGGGACAGAGGCCTCCCTAGAGACTGCAACCCAGAGGCCGTTCCCCAAGCACCCATCAGACGCGATGGCCCATGCCAGAGTCCAGGTCCCATCCTGGCAGAGACAAGAGAGCAAACCCAAGCGGGGCGCTTGCTCTGAAAGACTAGCCTGGAAGAGACTGCGCTGCCTTCAGCGGCGAGCGTGAGCTCTCTGACTGCCTTGCTGGGGGCAGAGCCCCAGAGCAAGACTCCTGCACACCTAAGTGCAGGGTCAGTGTCCCTTACGAAGTCATCTGGCCACACTGTGTGGGCATCTCGTGAGCCAGGACATCCCGGCCACGCTCTCTGCATGCCAGTGCTGCTGTGAGTGCCCACATGTCCCTCTGCTCAGGAGCGCAGCGGGGGTGGAGAGGAGGCAGGGAAGGGGGGTGGGGATGGCAAAGGCTGTGACGAGGGTCAAGGTGGAGGAGCCCAGGGGCACATCTCAGAGCCGCCACTCTGTGTGGACTGCCCACCTCTGGGCTTCTTCTACTTGTGAAAAAAATAGTAATACCCTCCTGACATATTTGACTTTGTGGCTGGGGGTTATGTTATCAGCAGGTGTATGAGGGCTCCAGGCTGCCATCACGGAGTACCATGACGGGCGGCTGAACACGACAAAAACGCCTTCTCCTGCAGCTCCGGGGGCTAGAGCCCCCCTCCCCACGTGAGGTGACAGGATCATGCCCACGGAGGCTCCAGGGAGGGCTTCCTTCCGCATCTGTCTCGCGCCCACCAGAAGCCATGGCTTTCCCTGGCTTGGCTGTGCTACTCCAACCTTCACTTGATCATCACCTGTCTCCCTTGCATCTGTGACCAACCCACCTCCCATCAGGGAAGTAACTGAAGCAAGGCTCGCCTTAATCTACTGCGCTCTCATCTCCATGCAGCCAAATCCATAAGATCCTATTTCCAAATAAGGTTCCCATTCAAGCTCCGGGTGGACAGGAGTTTCAGGGAAACGGTTCAGCAGCCAAACTGCCTAACCGTTACACAGGGTGGAAATTGCCCAGTGATTCCATGACCTCACTAAACTGCCCTGTGCACAGGACGGGCTGTCGGTCCAGTCTGGCCCGGTCAGACATGCGACATAGCCAGGAAACAGTGCGTGGGCATACCACCCAGAAAAAAGGCCCACGCCTGGCTGGCATCACCAGTGCCTCCAGGACTGCTTTTTAGATTAAACCTAGGGCATTCTCTCCTGAAATCCCACATACACATGAAATGCTCTCTTACTTTCAAGGATGAACCTCAACTAAGCTGATGAGGCTCTCTTTGAGAAATCCAGGGTACAGAAATCCTAATGGAGACAAAAGGGCACCTTCACAGGCTGTTATATGTTCTGAATACAAGAACTTCCATTTTACTAAGAGTGCTGGCCATGTCACACCTGCCTCTGACAGTGCCACTGTCTACTGATTTAAGATAGCATTTATGAATACCGTACTAACATATACCTCCTAGTAACAAATCGACTGTTTTAAGTAAGTTGCATCTACATATAAAAATAGGAAAATGTGATGTCGTCTTTCCACGACTAAAGTATTAAAGGCAGAAAAGTGAAATGCTTAAATTTCAAACATAACACACAATTCTCTTCATGGCAAAGGCAGAATACCTTGTGCTACGGACGCTTTCTTTGGGTTTCTGTGTAGAAGGAAGAGTATGCTCTTCACATCTCCTTGGATTTAAGTATTCCATACTGGAATGATGTAGCACTGACACTGAGGGTAAATGTCACGAACTAACCTCTTGTGCAGAAATTATACACAAACATCTCATTTGCATAACACTCACACGATTTCCAATGACGTGTCAGTAGCACAGATAAAGATCCCCAGGCCTGCGGGTAAGGGAATGGTGCACAACCGACTTCTCCAGGGTCTTAGAAGCTTTATTTTATCGGTGCTAGAATAAAAGTGCTTTCACCCATGTTGTCAATGGCTGGTGCCTAACCAGGGTGGTGGAGGGGACCAGGGCAGAACTGCCACTTGCCTGGAGCACGGGGGAGCTGGCAGTGCCGTGGCCTCCCTGTCCCGAGGGTCCCGGATGACCCCACAAGCCTGTGGCGGAGAACCCAGGGCCAGTGCAGGCCAAGCGCTCTGCACAGCACCTCACTCGCTGCAGAAGCCAGGACCCAGCGCCTTCACCTCTTGTGGCCACAGGACCTCCCTAGCTGTCCCGACAGCCCCTGTGACGGGAACCATCAGCCAGCAGGACAGTCAGGCCACAAGTGCCAGCTCTGGTGTCTGAAGGCTTGTGCCCGGTGGGGGGTGGTCGGGATTTGCCCTCCACCTTCCTGTTCCCGACGTGATGTGGCCGGCTCGAGGCCCGGAGACGCAGCGCCCGTCACTCTGCGGGAACCAGCTGCGTGAGGCAGCCCCCAGCGATAAGCAGCCACGTGCCAGCAGACCAGATGGTCATTTCCACCAGAGACCTTTCTGGAGTGCTGGCAACGTCACCAGACACCCTTGTGGATGACCTTGCGCTGTGACCTGCGGGTCACCGGCCCATCAGCAAAGTGGTGAGGCCACCTCAGAAGGTGGCTGAGGAAGGCGGAGACAGCCTGGCTCCGCACGGCGAAACCGCCGCCTCACAGGCACGGGCACCGCTCGCCGCGTTCCTTCCTTCCCTGGCTCCTCCCAG